ACTACTCATATTTTAACTTTATTAATTTTAATATACTCCTGGTTACCGTCTGTGTTTGAATTATATTTTAGTTTATCCTCTGATTGACTTTTTTTGGCTCTGGTTCAGAACGAACACTGCCTAACTAGTCTCCAAAAAGCAAATGCTCGGCTGCACTCGGAGAATTTTGTCGGCTACTTGCGGCAGATTTGCGAAAAATGTCGTTGCCCCCTAACTGACATAAAAAAAGTTTACTTCACTTCTTCTCCGAGCGGACAAACTGGTTTGCGAGTTAGTTTGGCTTTTTTGGCTACCTTACAAGTTCTTAATCCCCACGTCAAAATATACCATATTAATACTTTGTTATTACAAGCAGGAACCGATAATGGTCTGAGTTTATTAACTATTGATAGCCGAGAAAGAAAGTATCATTTGGCGATTTATCAAAAAAAAAAGTGTTTACTTGCTCCGCAAATTATTAGCCGGGAAAATTTAATCCAGTTCCAACAACAATTTCCGGATTTTCCCGTCCGCAAGGATTTTCGGGAAACCGATTTACTGGCTAATTTTCAAAAATTAAAAAAGGATTTTGTTTTGATACAAAATATCCAAGACGTAACTTTTTCTTAATTTTTAAAGAATAAATGGAGGAGGCGAAGGGATTCGAACCCTTGAATACTTTGTATTAGTAGTTTTCAAGACTACCGCCTTCAACCGCTCGGCCACACCTCCTTATTTTTATCAATATTTTTACCGTGCTCCCAAAATAGGTGATTGCAAAGAGCAAGTCGTGTAAAAACTGAAAAAATAAAATCATGAAGGAAAACCTGAAAAAACAGCCTGCAGAAAAAGACAGTGGTAAGAATTGGAAAATTCTGGGAGGAATGATAGTAATAGTCTTTATACTAGCAGTGATAATTGGTTTTTGGGGAGCAAGGAAAATGTGGGCTGAGTCGGAAGCACCAAAAAAAGAAGGTATTACTGAGTTAGAAAAGGGTTTAGGAACTAACCGTAGTAAATTGCAGGATTATTTTGTGATTTACGTCCCTTCTGAGTTAGAAGAAATAAAAATAGAAGAGACAAATATGGATAGCTATGGTAAAATTAGAAATAGCATCAAAGCCAGAATTAAAGATACCCTAATTATCGATTTCAACAGGGCCATTAAAAGAAAAGAGGGGTGAGAACAAAAAAAGGACTTGTTGTTTGATTTTCAAAGTGGCAAACTGTTACCTTACATTGTTTTTAAAAAAGACCACAATTGGGGTGCTAACGAACTATATGAAACTGATAAAACATTTTATTTTAATTGCTTAAAAGATAGTTACCGAGAATTTAATACTAAGGAAGAAGTCATAGAATTTCTTCGTGATAAAGATAGTTTTTTTTAGTTTGGGTGAGAGCAGCCTAATAATGACTTCCCTGTTTAGCGATAACTACTAATCCTAGGAAAAACTAGCCAAGACAAAATAATTCCGCAACTAGTAGCCACATTCAAAGAAGGAACATTGTTGCTAACTGGGATAAAAAGCCAGTAATCACTTTTTTGCAAAAGAGATTTTTTTATCCCGTGGTGTTCGTTGCCAAAAATTAGGCAAGTTGGGGAGTTAATTAGGAATTTATGACACTCCACCACTTTTTCACTAGTAGAAAACGAGTTAGGAGTGGTAGTAGCCACAATTTTATAGCCTCTTTTTTTTAGTTCATTAACCGCTTCCCCCAAACTGCTTACCCGGCAAATTGGCACGTAGGCTATACCACCAGCCGAGACCTTAATGACTGTGCTGTTAACGGGAACTTGGTTGCGGCTGGCAATAATTACTCCGTCTATTGCCAAAGCCGCACCGGTTCGCAAAATGGCCCCAAAGTTATGCGGGTCTTCGATGCTGTCGAGCATAACTAGTAAGGGATATTTGCGTTGTGGAGGTATTTGTCACAAACGGGAAAGGGGAAGATAATCATAGTCATTCAATAAAGCCACTATGCCTTGGCTTTTTTTGGAAAAACTCCGACGAACGAAGTCATTTTTATTTAATAATTGGTAATCTGCTTGACTTGTGGTTAATAATCGCTGTAATTCTTTATCACTTTGATACTTATCCTGAATTATTATTTTTTTGGGACGAAAATAAGGAGAGTGGAGAATACTTATTACCGGATGATAACCAAAAGCCAGCAGGGTCATTATTGTTGTTTTATTACTTGGGGAGTATTTGGTTTTTGTTATCTTTATTTATGGGATTTAGTTATTTTGTTGTTGTAATGTCGTGGCAGGGTGTGTTTTATGAGGTCAAGGTTGTTTTGCAAAAATCAGAACTATAAAGAATTATCATCAATTACTTTGGAGCAATCTGCATTTGGGCTACTAATTGGGTAGTTTGGTTTGCTGATTTAACTAATTGATTATAATGATTTCTTCG